TCAGCTGCCTCCTGCACATCTCCCACGGGGGATGTGCCCGCAACCCCAGGCACAGCTCCTGACCGGAATCGAACCTGGGACCTCTCAGTCCGCAGGCCGACGCTCTATCCACTGAGCCAAACTGGTTTTGGCTACATATATTTTTCATACTTTACTCTTCTCACTTAACAGTATCTTAAACCAGTGATTCTCAAAGTGTAGTCCCTGGGCCAGCAGTGTCAGCACCACCTGGGAATTTTTAGAAACACAAATTCTGGACTCCGCCCCAGACCTACTGACTTAGGCACTGGTGACGGGTCCCAGCCAATGAGTGGTTCCCAGAAGCCGTCTGGGTGATTCTGATGCAGCTCATGATGCTGTCTCTGCTCTAGTTTTCTTTTTTAATAGTTGCATTACTTTTCATGCTGGAGATAAACCAGAATTCTTCATCTACCCCAGTGAAGGTCATCCACTTGGATTTCAACGTGGTGTTTTTTTGGTACAAATAATGCTTCAGTAAACATCCTCGTGAACAAACATCCTGTGCTCTATCTTTACCTATGAGTACCTTTATTTCTAGGCGCTGGAGTCTGAGGAGTAAGATTGCTCATTTGAATTTATGGACTTTCAGTTTCATAAATGTCCCCAGATTGCTTTTCACAAAGGCTGTACCAATTCATGTTTCCAGGAGCAATGAATGAGAGCACCTGCTTCCCTCCAGCCATTGCTCTTTTTAAATGTTTCCTATCTTGATGGAAAGTGCATTATGACTTTAATTTGCACTTCCCTGACTGCAGCTTGATTTAAGCATTTTTATTTTTTTTATTTTTTTTTTTTTAAATATATTTTATTGAGTTTTTACAGAGAGGAAGGGAGAGAGACAGAGAGTCAGAAACATCGATGAGAGAGAAACATCGATCAGCCGCCTCCTGCACATCTCCCACTGGGGATGTGCCCGCAACCCACGTACATGCCCTTGACCGGAATCGAACCTGGGACCCTTGAGTCCGCAGGCCGATGCTCTATCCACTGAGCCAAACCGGTTTCGGCAATTTAAGCATTTTTAATGTTTGTCATATTTTGATTTGCTGTTCTCTGATATGCTTAGCCCATTTTTCTGTTTGCTTAGTTATTCCTTTCTCATTAACTTATAAAAACTTTTTGTATAAGTATTGATCCTCTGAATGTTATCTTTGTTACAAATGGTTTTTTCCCCCCGAATTTAATTTTGTCCATTGACTTTGTGGTCCTCAAACTTTAGCTGTGCATCAGAATCACTTGAAGAGCTTGTTAAACCCAGGTTACTGGGCGCCAAGCAACACTTTCTGACTCAGTAAGCCTGGGGTGGGAGGTAAGAATTTGTATTCCTAACCAATTCCCAGACGCTGCTGCTGCTACTGCTGCTGGTCCAAGGATCATACATTGGGAATCACCAGTTTTTGCCTCACAGAAGTTTAAAATTTGTATATAGTTAAATATGCCTTCTTTTCACTTATAACTTTTTAATTTCTTGCCTTAATTCAAAAGCTCTTCCTAGTCCTATATTGTGAATATGGTCTCCAATATTTATTTCATTGTTTTATATGTAAATGTGTAATCATCAGGAATTTATTTTTGTATATGGTAGAAAAGAGGGGTCCTACTATATTTTCTTTCAGATTTTTAACCAGCTGTCCTAGCATCAAATTATTAAATAATCCATTCTTTTTCCACTGAATCGAAATGTCACCTTTGTCATATAATAAATACTGGAATTTATTCTCCCCCAGCGATCATTGTTTCCATTCCTCTTTCAATAATGTATGGATTTGATCGCAGTGGCTTTCATAATATGTTCTAATATTTGATAAGCCAACATCTTCTCCATTCTTTTTCATACTTTGCTATTTTTTTGGCATTTATTCTTCTGTATAAAGTTTATGGTCACTTTATCTAATTTTTAAAATCTGTGAGAATTTTAATTGGAGTTACATTAAATCTCTCTCTCAAATAGTTGGGGGGTTTTGTGTGTGTGTTTTTTGTTTTTTTTTTGGTTAATCCTCACCCGAGGATATTTTTCCATTCAGTTTTAGAGAGAGTGGAAGGGAGGGGGAGAGACACATCGATTGGTTGCCTCCCACACACTCCCCAACCAGGGCCCCAATGGAGCCTGCAACCAAAGTTCGTGCCCTTGACCGGAATGGAACCCAGGACCCTTCAGTCCTCAGGCCAATGCTCTATCCACTGAACCAAATCTGCTAAGGCAAGAGAATTGACATTTTTAAAAGTATGAACCTTTTCACTCAAGATATGGTATTTCTTTTCATATTTTTAAATCTTTTTGTGTCCTTAAATAAGATTTTAGTTTTGTTTATGTAGGCCTTATCCTTTTCTTGTTAAATATATTCCTAAGTGTTCTATCATTTTTATAAGCATTTCTAGATACACTTGAAAAAAAACCTATTAATTTATGTTCATCTATTTAGTATGCAACTAACTTATCAAATTTTCTTAATACTACTAGCATTTTTTTTACTTGAGTCTCTTAGGTTTTCCAGGTATACAATTATATCATCAGTGCAAAATAATAGTTTCTCTTCCTTTCCAATTTTATGCCAGTTGTGCTCTTATCTAACTGCATTTTTTTAACCTTACTATAAGTAGGCTACTATATTTGCAGTGGTTTTAATATGACTTTGTTTTGGTTAAGGTTAGCAGCTAGTTTTGGGTAATGACATTTAATATATGTAAGTAGTTTCTTTCTAGTCCCTATTTTACTTGTGATTTAAAAAAAAAAATAGCTGCTGAATTTTATCAAATGTCTTTAATAAGATATAATGTAAATTATATCTCAATTTTAAAATGAAAAAATTAGCAATGAGAAGTTAGAAATGCCTCATAATAATACATACCATAAAAGTCACCCTCTTAAAGTGTACAAATCAGTAGTGTGTAGTATATTTACAAAGTTATACAACTATCACCAATATCTAATTCCAGAACATTTGCATCCCCTCAGAAAGAAACTCTGTACCCATTAGTAGTCGTTCCCTCTTCTTCCTTCCACCCAACCCCTGGCAGCCACTAGTATACTTTCTATGCCTATAGATTTGCCTATTCTACACGTTTCATAATAAATGGAAGCATACAATATACTTGTGTCTGGCTTCTTTCAGCTGGCATGTTTTCAAGCTTTATCCATGTTGTAGCATGTATCAGGACTTCATTCTTTTTTATGACTGAATCATATTCCACTATATGGATAATACCTCATTTGTTATTAATTTATCAGTTGATGGCCATTTGAGTTGTTTCTACCTATGGGCTATTATGAATGATGCTGCCATGAATATTTGTGCACAATGTTTGTGTGGACATGTGCTTTCCCTTTTCTTGAGTATATACCGAAGAGTGGGATTTCTGGGTTGTCCAGTAACTGTTTAACTTCTTGAGGAACTGCCAGCTGTTTTCCAAAGCTGCAGAACCATTTTATGTTCCCACCTACTGTACATAATACTTGCTATTGTCTTTTTGAAATTTTTTTATTGTCCTTTTTAAAAAATTGATTTTAATTTTATTGGTTTTAAAGAGAGAGGAAGGGAGAGGGAGAAACATCGATGTGAAAGAGAAATATCGATCGACTGCCTCCTGCCAGCACCCCAGACTGGGCATCAAGCCGGCAACCTGGGTATGTGCCCTGACCGGGAATCAACCAGTAACCTTTCAGTGCATGGGATGATGCTCAACCAACTGAGCCATACCTGCCAGGGCTTTCATTGATTTTAGAGAGAGTAAGGGAGAGAGAGGAACATTGATATGAGAGAGAAATATTGATTGGCTGCCTTTTGTATGAGCCCCGATTGGGGATTGAACCAGGGTATGTACTCTGACCCAGAATCGAATCCGAGACCCATGATCACCACTCCAACCAACCGAGCCATACTGACCAGCGCTATTTTGTCCTTTTAATTGTAGTCATCCTAGTGGATGTGAAGTGGTATCTCATTGTGTTTTTCATTGGCATTTCCCTAGTGGTTAATTATTTTATGCCTCTTTCATGTGCTTATTGGCCATTTGTATATATTCTTAAAGAAATATTTATTTAAATCCTTTGCCCATTTTTATTTTAATTTTATTTTTTTCAATTTTATATAAAATCAAGCACTATTTTATTTAACTGGTTTTTTTTAATAAAAAATACAGTAGTATGCCCAGCTGGTGTGGTTCAGTGGTTGAGTCTTGACCTATGAACCAGGAGGTCATGGTCTGATTCCAGTCAGGGCACATGCCTGTGTTGCGGGCTCCATCCCAGTAGGAAGGCATGCAGGAGGCAGCTGATCAATGATTCCCTCTCATCATTGATATTTCTATCTCTCTCTCCCTCTCCCTTCCTCTTTGAAATCAATAAAAATAGATTTTAAAAAATACAGTACTATTGGTTATGTTCTGATTTCCCTGGTGAAGCATCAACATCAGTGACAAACTTTCACATACATGAAAGAATCAGGGATGGAAAGTTAAAATGAGGTATAGATGGCATTCTGAGCTAAGGATGGGGTAAGGCTCTTTGGGGGCTTCAGAGGGTCACTGCAGGATGAGAAGAAGAGCAGGTGTTTGCCCTGCCCAATAGGTAGACAGAAACGGTTATCTCTGATAATTTTTCATTATGGACAAGGTACCTAATTCAAGTTCTCCTTAAGTAGTTAAAGGAAGAGTGGGGCAGAAGTTTCTCTTGTAAGTCTCAGTTGCCTTTAGCTCAAAATAATCTGCATAGTACAGAGGCACATCTTGGGGTGACTCATTTTGAACCCCTACAAAGGTTAAGCTGTTAGGGCTTCAGCCTCTGGGATGCCCATTTTTAAATTGGGTTATTTGTTGTGGTGTAAGGGTTGCTAATTTTATAAAAACAAGTTTACTTATAATGTTTCTATTATATTTTTAAATCA